TGATTTCGTAGAAAGATTTACATGCTTGTTTCAATGAGGGCATCATATTTATAATCTACAATGTACAAAGTTTGTATATACTTTTATAATGTAATTAGATAAAAAGGTAAACGACTCAAATATACTTTTGCATCACTTTAGTATTTTAATTTCTGCCGCATAACAAGCCAATGTCTAATGTTATAAAGATCCATACTAATTTGTTCTAAATATTGACAAAAGCCATGTGATTGCTTTGCAGTCAAACGTTTTTCTCAGGTTGTCAGAAAGAAAACGTAACCTAGAAGCCGCACACTTGTCAAAAAAGCGATCTTAGAAAACAGGATCTTTCTGACCCAGCTTCATAACATACGAGTGACGTTGCAGTTTATGTATAAAACGCCTAAATGCACAGCAAATAAATGACGTTTTGACAGTATTCAGTATGATTAAGTAGCATAATGTATGCAAGTTGGAGCGTAACATGGCCTTGCCATAACTTTGGTCTGTTGTACGGCAGAATCGGCCCATCAATTGGTGATGTTGAATAGATTATCCACCTTTTGATATATGCAAAATATATCTATTAGTAATAGACATATTTTGCATATATGAAAAGGTAGATAATATATTCAACATCACCAATTTATGGGCTGATTCTGCCGTACAACATACCATTGTTATGGCAAGGCCATGATAAATGTAATAGTATATAGCATGTACCTTATTTTTTTTAGATCTATCTATATACGCAATGTAATTGACTTATTGTATTGCAATTCGGATTCGATTATTTAGTTTCAAGATGTTCTTCAGCTCTGTTACTATAAGTCGCGCGTTCCGTCTCGTGAAATTACGATGTGTTGTTTATGTTTTAACATGCATTGTCATTAAAATGTAAAACAATCAACTCGAATGAAATAAAACGGAGAGGCCTCAGAGCTCTGAACGAAACGAGTTTTTCCTGACAACAACGGATAAAAACTCCGATGTTAATTAGTTGATAAACACTCTGCAAGAATGGATTCGATCACACCTTCGAATAACACACAAGGCATAAACCAGGAGTGCACAACATCGAAAATAAACATCAAAATGAGAAGACCACATGCAGCGGAAATAGTTCAGTCAGTAGCATACCCGACTTACACGCCAGGGATACTCGGTTCGAATTCAAATCAAAGTGCAATTTTTGTTTTTTAATATTTTTTGGTACGAGAAGTTCTAGCAATTTGCCAAGACACAATTCCATACACTGCTAGTTTTTTTTTTTCTAAATCTTGTCTTCTCTTTAGCAAATCTAACATTTTTCTTTATATTTCTAATTTTATTCTATATCAAATAGACAATTTTTCTGTCTAGACAATCGTTACTTGTCGTCTTTATAAGAAGTCAATAATTAATAAAAAGCCTCATAAGGTAGAATAACGTTAATTAGTAAAAATCTCATTCATAATTTAGAGTATTTAAGAAATAATCGAACAATTAAAAATAGGTCACCTGTCAAAATAAACCATTTCGAATGTATAATAATAATTGTATGTATGTATGTATGTATATATTATAATTAATATTATATAAATTCTGTACTACCGAAACATTAGTTTAGATAATCGGTGACTTTTGCAGTCGTTTGTAAAGTATATAAATATAAATAAAATAAAGTATATAAATATAAATATAATAAAGTATATATAAAGTATACATAGTAAAGGTTTTTTCACAGGCAGGTCCAACCGTTTTGGACATACGGAGCAAAAATTGCATATATTAGCAGTTTTTGAGAGAGGGGATCACCTCATTAGAATGATTAGAGATTATAGAAGAAAATATTAGTTTTTTGAGAAGACAAAGGCATATTTTTTTAATTTCAATTTTTTTAATATCAAAAATGATTCGTATTTTATTGTTAATTTCAGTATCTCGTCAATTTTTACTTTTCATCTCTATTTTGCTTCTTTCTCTGTCAATATTTAACAAAAGGACTTAAGAGACTTAGAAATATGAGATAAGGTCTTTAATTCTAACATCGCTGATTTAGTTTGTTAAGTTCCAGCAATTTGCATTAAGGTACGATGCTATGAAACACTACTTTTAATTGGCTTTTATTACTCAGATCTCTATCCAACAATAACCTTTAAGGATAATTTGCATATTACCAAAAGGTAGTGTACCAATGCCTCGAACAAACACACGCAAAGATACAAATCGTACGACGATATCGTCGAAGTGCTTACTTATATCAATTATTTATGACCGGCTGTGTTTTCAATTCCAATCGCAATTGATTTCAATAATGTGATTTTGAGAAGAATTTGCATTTTACATTATTTGAACAAGGCCGTACGATAAATGTCGAGCAGTAAAAATTACCAGAAATATTTGTTCGAACAATAAAGTTTCTTCATTATGTATTTCCATAAAAGTAGAAATGAATTGACTCAAGGTAAGGAAACAAAAGTGATTCTAGATTCAATTAGATTATTCTATATGTTGATATTGCTTTGAAAATTAAGTTTGCAAATCATTTCATATGCTATTTTTATATTAGTTTTTGCTACAATATTGAGTACATAATGATAAACGATAAAGATTAATGCCCCAAGATCAATTCCATCATTATTTTTATCAGACTTATAAAAATTTTCTACTTTGAGCGCTTTGATATCAATTTAAGGAAAACATTAGTGCTAACGAAAACTGAATTATAAAAACAACTACATAAAGTGCAGCTACAAAATTTATTCTCAATTAATAAAACTCTGAAAACTATTGATAAATTTTCGAAAGGTACCACTTATTGTTCTGCTAATATGGAAACAAATAAGTGCTTCATATATAAGAGTTCATGACGTATTGGTGCATATAAAAATATTCAAATAATTATGTTCAATGAATCAATTGTTGCTTAATTAATTAAAATCAGAATATTTGTTTTAAATTTAAAAACTTTGTATAATGCAGTGAAAAATATCTATAACTAAAGTAAGCATTGGAGATTATATATATAACTAGCAAACCCGACGAACTCCGTTTCGCCACCAGATGGTTTCGTGAGAAAGATGAAGAAATTTTTTGTTTGTTTTATATTTGAAAAGGAGAAATTTGAAAACAATTATTGATTATTTTCATTACTCGAAGTTTTAATTACGGTGCGTGAAGTTCCAGCAATTTGCATTAGGGCACGATGCCATGCACCACTAATTTTCTTAGCTATAAACCTTGAGGAGCCCGAGACCTTTCCAACGAATGCAAAATTGTCGAAATCGAATCGTGCGTTATGGAGTCAGGAAGGAAAACCCGACTTATTTTTATATATATGTAGATAATAACCCAATAAAAAAATTGTGAATTTTTCATCATTGTTGGTGACTGAAAAATTTTCAAGTATTATATTAATTACGTAATAGTTAGTGAATTTAATATATGCTCATAATGCATTTTATATTACATAAATTAAAAAAATTATATGAGCCTGTTATTGGTTTACAAATACAAAAATTATAGTCATATTGAATAAGTCTTCACATCTAATGGAATAATAACACAGATAATTATGAACATAATAATTTGTTATAAATTATAATATATTCATCAATATTCGCAGACACAATTCTTAGTAAACTAATAATTGAAATATTTCACAATTTTTTACACGACATTTTTGAGTTCAGGTGGATCCTAATATTATAGCTTATAGAGTTATTACATTCTGATTGCTATTTGATTGTAGAATTTAAAAAAAAAATAAGAAAAAAAATTGTACACGTATGTGAAACAGGACGTATTTATTATTTAAAAGTAACAATAACACAGTTAATGATGTGCATAAAATTTTGTTAAATAATTATAATCGAATCATCACTTGAAGACATAGTTTTAGAGTAAATTAGTAATGAATTGATATTTCAATAATTTTACGCATATATTCAGAACATAGATCCTTTTAGATAAAGTTGATTACATTTTAATGAGGTTAATGTTTTATTTTAAAAATTTGCAATTACTGAGAACCAAAAATATCAATCGAAAAAAAATTGTTTGTTTTACCAAGAAAACCATATCCTACATCTACAAGAAAATTTCACCGAACGACGTATTATTCAAAACACACTTTCGACTATTTATTATTAATGCAGCTACCACAAAAACGGCTAGTTTAAATATTTAACAAGGCAATTAAGGAGATTTTTCAGAGAAATTACTATTTGATATTTTTTGACAAATTGTCCGTTGAGACTGTTTGCTCAAATCATTTGGCACCAGTGCGCTAGATGTCACCCTAATTGTTAGTTAGAAGTTCTCGTCCGCGAGCAGAGTGAAAAAATCGGACAAAGGGTTTGTTTACTTCTTGCCAGGGAATTGGACATTGTCAGAGATGGATTGGGATAAAATATTTTAATTTTAGTAAAATAAGTTGTACAAATAATAAAAATTTAAATTAAAAAAAAAGATAGTGTGTACTAAAATCTTGATATAGTTAAAAATTGATTGTAATACTGCAGAATAGCAAGAACAAATACTAGCTATCAAAATATTAATAAAAATATGGAACAAATTGATATTTTGACAGAATATTAAATAAAAAACGATGCTGAAGGTATATGATATGAAGATGAAAAATGATATGAATGGCTATAAATGCCAGGGTCAACTAAAAGGCCATTTACTAAAAAATTAACTTTATTCTTAAAATGGAAACTTTGAAATTAGTTAAGAACTGGTAGTGCAAAATAACATAATTAGTAATATAATTAGTAATAATGATTTTTTTATAGTTAACAATACTAGCGTTGTTTCTTAGATCAATATTTTGAACATCTTATGTAATTCATATGTAAGTCTTGATAGTCACCAATATTATAATATAAGCTATTTTGGTGTTTTTATATTTGACACACAAAAAAAATCGCTGAATTCAATTACATTTTTTTTAAATAGTTTGTTTCTCCATTGCACTAATCACTCAATATTATATTATTATTCACTACAGAAAAAAAGAATAAAATAACAGTACTTACAGTTTTTCCATAGTAATCATAAGCTCTCAATCATGTTGGTTGCATAATAAATTCCTGTAAAAATTTAAATAGGCGAAATTAAAATAACTACATTACTATGCTATAACCAATTTACAAAATATAATTACAAAATAATTAGGAAAGCCAGTTTAAAATATTTGAAATATTATGATAAATTACATGCTGGCTTAGAAAAATTAACTTAAAACTTTCTTATATTTGACATTTCTAAATCGTGCCAGTTCGATTCTGCCGTGAGCCTACAAACAGATAATATTTTTACATCTTGAAACTTGTTAATATAATTAGTACCTCACCCTGAATTCATAATAAGGGTGAACATAATAAAATAGTCAGAAAACTACTTTCTTCAAAATATGTCAACATTGGCTTTTAGGTGCTTTTTGACCTACACGAAGTTATGCAACTATTTCTATGATTGACGGGACTTGTGTCTTTTCGGTTCGACCAGATAAATGAAGTAATGGCATTAAAATAATATTAAAAATGTGTTTGAAGTCGTGTCCCTACTTTGCTATAAAAAATCTAGAAATAATTTATACTCTTCTGCTTGCCAAAAAAATTTATTAAACGTATGATCTTTCAAATCGTTATAGTCTTTCGATTTATATATCAATTGCTATAAGTGCACATATTTATATGTGCAAATGCAAATTAATGCAAATTTGTTCCAATATGTTAATGCAATATGATCATTGTGATTATCTTATAGTATTATAAAGGCATCGATTATATTTATGAACAGATACGTATTAATTTGATTTGTTCTAATAATTAATAATAATAATTTAAAACTTGTTATTTTAGTCTAAAATAGAAAGATCAAAATTATTTATATCAAGAAAATAATTATATATACATATACGCAAATGATTTTACGAAACTGCTAGAAAATTGTATCGAATGTAACTACTGATGAGTTTTGGTAGCATAAATTTAATGACTAGTTTTAAAATCTATATAAAAACTAGCTGACCCGGCAAACGTTGTTTGGCTAAGTAATGTATATTCTAATCAATTTCTAGAGATATTCGGATATTCGGATATTCGGATATTCGGATATTCGGATATTCGGATATTCGGATATTCGGATATTCGGATATTCGGATATTCGGATATTCGGATATTCGGATATTCGGATATTCGGATATTCGGATATTCGGATATTCGGATATTCGGATATTCGGATATTCGGATATTCAGATATTCAGATATTCAGATATTCAGATATTCAGATATTCAGATATTCAGATATTCAGATATTCAGATATTCAGATATTCAGATATTCAGATATTCAGATATTCAGATATTCAGATATTCAGATATTCAGATATTCAGATATTCAGATATTCAGATATTCAGATATTCAGATATTCAGATATTCAGATATTCAGATATTCAGATATTCAGATATTCAGATATTCAGATATTCAGATATTCAGATATTCAGATATTCAGATATTCAGATATTCAGATATTCAGATATTCAGATATTCAGATATTCAGATATTCAGATATTCAGATATTCAGATATTCAGATATTCAGATATTCAGATATTCAGATATTCAGATATTCAGATATTCAGATATTCAGATATTCAGATATTCAGATATTCAGATATTCAGATATTCAGATATTCAGATATTCAGATATTCAGATATTCAGATATTCAGATATTCAGATATTCAGATATTCAGATATTCAGATATTCAGATATTCAGATATTCAGATATTCAGATATTCAGATATTCAGATATTCAGATATTCAGATATTCAGATATTCAGATATTCAGATATTCAGATATTCAGATATTCAGATATTCAGATTTTCAGATTTTCAGATATTCAGATTTTCAGATTTTCAGATTTTCAGATATTCAGATATTCAGATATTCAGATATTCAGATATTCAGATATTCAGATTTTCAGATTTTCAGATTTTCAGATTTTCAGATTTTCAGATTTTCAGATTTTCAGATATTCAGATATTCAGATATTCAGATATTCAGATATTCAGATATTCAGATATTCAGATATTCAGATATTCAGATATTCAGATATTCAGATATTCAGATATTCAGATATTCAGATATTCAGATATTCAGATATTCAGATATTCAGATATTCAGATATTCAGATATTCAGATATTCAGATATTCAGATATTCAGATATTCAGATATTCAGATATTCAGATATTCAGATATTCAGATATTCAGATATTCAGATATTCAGATATTCAGATATTCAGATATTCAGATATTCAGATATTCAGATAATTAGATATTCCGATACTCCGATACTCCGATACTCCGATACTCCGATACTCCGATACTCCGATATTTCGATAGAGCTAAATGTACAAAAAATGGCAGTTTTTGAGCGAACTAAGTGTCCGATTTGAATGATTCAAAGGAATTTCTGCTTGTTTTAACAAAATAATTGCTAATGGAAAAAAATTGTTATCTTTTTCAAATTTTTTTTCTTGAAATTTTTAAGGTACGAAGTTTCAAGTAACATTCGATGAATTAACGAACAATTATCTGACTACGTTCAGTAAAATTGCCAGCTACTTCATCATTGTAGAAATGCATTTTTTTATGTCTTTCAAAAATTCGTTATCTACACCTCTTTACCCTATAGGCGGGGTAACTTGGAACGGCCAGGTGACAAACATGTTTAAAACCTTATTTTAATTTAAAGGTATTTTACAAAATAATTACATTTTTAACTAATGCTAAAAAACTACCAACGGAAGAAAATACTTTTATTATGGATTTTCAAAGATTACCGATATTTTGTCAATACAATCAAACTGGAAGTTTTATATACTTTCTATAGAAAACATGGTATAATGCAATCCAAGTTTTTTTTGGTCTTTCGACTTATATTGTCGTAAATATTCACGTAAAACTTCCTATTAAAAGTAATTGAACACCATCGGTCAAGAAAGTTTGACATTTCACGTAATAGCCACCGTCTATTGTTTTATTCAAATTAGGCTTCTACAAAAATTTTCAAATTAAAAATGTAAAATTTCTACGCGAGTTTAGAATAATATCTCACCTTTTGGACTTTCTCTGGATTGGCATGAATTATTCAAGTCTAAGACTGGCCAAATCAGTTTAGCCGTTTTCGAGTTTTACTTAGACATTTGAAAGAGAGCTCCATTTTTATATATAAGATAATCGGATTATATTTAACTAACTTTGAACCTTTTTCTTTAAAACGCATATATGCTGTAATTATTATCGTAATAATTTACAATACTACAACTAATACTATTCAAAAAAGGAATCGTATCTCTGAATTTTTTAAATTGTGTTGAAGTTTTCTAAGAAAAGGTGTGTGAAAAATACATTTTAAACTGTTGTAAGAAGTAGCAACTCGGCCAATTTTTGCACAAAATCAGTGAATGTGAACAATTACTTACTACATTCATCAATAGAATGAACTACAGTAGTCTTTTTTCATTTTTACGTCACTTATCGTCTATCTACACTATTACGTCTGCATTTTCGTTGGAAATAATTGTATGGGCTCGCCCGTAGGTAAGTGGTTAAGTGCGACGGGACTTGTTTCAGAGGGCCCGGGTTCGAAATCCACTCCGAGCAGCCTGTTGTCAGGCAGCAGTGACAACGATTTTTACTTGGAAATATAGATAGCAATATGTTTCCAAGTGAAAATAACCCTTGCCCGGCATTGCCGCACCAATAAAAAGTCAGCCCTATTAGATTAATTCTAATAACAAAAATCATCAAATATGGATGGATTAACCATTGGGTTACCATCTAAAAATACGAAGTAAGAAGAAGTTTCAGCCCAACAAATCATAGGACGTAAGATTCTAATTGATGTTAAAAATATTAAAAAAAATAAAAATGAATAATTGTACTATAATAATATTATGAAACTAGTTGGTGAATTTAAAACCATTATTAGAATCTTTTGTGTAATTCAAGTTTAAATTGAAGTGGTTCTACTTGCATGTCACAACTCTAACAAATTATTTCAGTAATAGTTTATCAATAAACCATCATTTCAATAAATGTATATATTTTCTCTCTTTTTTTAATAAAAATTAGAACATTCGTTACATTCTATGAGCTAATTTGATTGACATTAATAAAAATTAATTATAGATAGTACCATGTGATAAATTTTACTTGATCAAGTTAATTGGCCTTATTAACTTCCCGAAGGAGAAGTTTATGTTTTCATCAAAAAATCCGATTCGCTAATTTTATGTTTTCTCGACGTTTCAAGCCATTCTGAATCGAATGAAACCAACTTTGGAAAAAGTATGTGTGTGTGTGTGTGTGTGTGTGTGTGTGTGTGAACAGATTTTTTGCCGTAAATCGACGTTTTCTCCAAAAACGGCTGGACCGATTTCAAAAATTTAAAAGCCATTCGATGTATTTCGATGAAGACTATCGTTTCTGAGTTTTGTACGGCGATCGGCCGGGCCGTTTCTTTGTAAAATGCAGAAAAGTGAAAAATTTTCGTCCACGTTTTAGCCCGCAATTCTGAATCGATTCTGAAAATTCAAAAACCATTCGATAGATATTGGTTAGGAATCGTGCTGATTAGTTTTTGGTAAAGATCGGCCGGGCCGTTTTTTTGTAATAAAGTTTAAAAAAAAAAAATTTCGACGATTTTTATGATTTTTTTTTGGTGGTAGATACCATTGTTTTCTCGGTCATACTAAAATATTACGGCCCTACGACAACTCGTTTAGCTTTAAAAATTCGTCAAAGTTTGCAAAAATTGGTATCGTTTTTTTGACATTTGTCAAAATTAGACTTTTGATCGACGTTTTCTCAAAAACGCCTGAACCGATTTCAGAAATTTAAAACCCAATAAATGTATCTCAGTGAGGACTATCGTTTGTCAGTTTTGTGCGACGATCTGTCAAGCCGTTTCTTTGTAATTTAAAAAAAAGTGTTAAACTTTTGTCCACATTTAAGCTCATCCTACCGAACCGATTTTAAAAAATCAAAAACTGTTCGAAAGATATCATTTGGGAATGATGC